GCAGCAGCAGCAGCAGCAGCAGCAGCAGCAGCAGCAAGCCCACCAGCAGCATTCGGCTGTATGTAGGAGGAGACCCCACCGAGGGCGCGGAGAAGGGCCCGCACAACGTGAGAACCAGAAGCCGTCTTCATCAGAGACACCAGGCCTTCGCCTTCGTTTCTGTTTTTTTTTATAAAAAAACAATATTATATATATATATATATATATATATATATATATATATATATATATTTACTTATTTATTTATTTATTTATTTATTTATTTATTTAGAGAGAGACGATGCCTTCACCTTCGTTTCTGTTTTTTTTTAATAAATAAAACACAATATTATTTATTTATTTATTTATTTGTTTGTTTGTTTGTTTGTTTATTTGTTTATTTATATAGGGAGAGAGAAACTAGGCCTTCGCCTTCGTTTCTGTTTTTTTTAAATAAAAAACAATATTATTTATTTATTTATTTATTTATTTATTTGTTTGTTTGTTTGTTTGGTGTTGGGCAAAGAGAGAAAAAGAAAAAGATGCAGAGAGAAAGAAAAAAGAAAGAAACAGAAAAAGGAAATAACGGAGACGGAAAGACAGACAAAGACAGACAAAGAAAGACAGAGAAAGACAAGTAGATAAAGAGATAAACAAACAGAGAGAGAATGAAAGAGAGAAAGAGAGAGAAAGAGAGAGAAAGAAAGAGAAAGAAAGAGAAAGAAAGAAAGAGAGGGAAAGAGAGAAAAAGAGGGAGAAAGAGAGAGAGAAAGAAAGAGAGAAAGGGAGATAAAGAGAGAGATAAAGAGAGACAAAGAGAGGAGACAGAGAAGCAATAAATAAAACAAAAGACAAAGACAGCCAGAAACACCAACACAATAAAACAACTCAAACAAACTAAACACAAATAAATAAATAAATAAATAAAACAAATAAATAAAATAAAACAAAAAATGAAACAAATAAACAAAACAAATACAATAGAACAAATAAAATAAAACAAATAAACAAAACAAAAAATAAAACAAAAAACAAGAT